TACACACAAACACACACACAGACAACCCCGTGACAATATGCGTTTTGTAACGCTGTTACACAGCATAAAATGCATAAAAAAACGAAACTGGCGATTTACCACTGCGAGTGGGTCACCAGGCGTAAAATGGGCGTTTTCGCACCCTTAGTTCCTACCTGCGGATGCGTAAAAGATGTTTTAGCGAGGGAATGAGGCAATCTGGAAAGTTGAAATTTTACAATTATATTTCCTCTCCATGTTCTACTCCAGAGTTCTCAAGTCGACTTCCAAATAAGTCAAAGTTCAGACTGACACATTGTTGGCATTACTTCACCTCGAAAACCACACTAACAAAAAAGCTATGATTTCGTAAGGATATTTGTCATGTATGTGTGGGTTCGTAAAAATGAAATCAGCTTTCACATCTTCCACATCTCGCCTACGAAAAGTGAAATCTTTTTTAAAGCTGAGAATTTTGTAATTCCGCATCCAGAGCATTGGTAGAGTCTTGAAATATTTGACATCGCGGAAGCTGTTATCAGCTTTTTATGCGTTTTTCTATGTATGCGAATGCAGAAAAAAAAACGCATATTGTAACAACCCATGGTGTGCGTGTGTGTATATGTGTGTGTGCATGTGCGTTTGTCCGGCTATTTCAACTCGGTAACCAATCAGTTCTCGACTCCCAGTAATTTCAGTGGCCAAGTGCTATCCCACACTCGTGGCCCCAACCTTCATGCACGCTTGAGCCCGCGTACGAGCACGTGAAAGTTTCGGCGGGAAAATTGCCAACTCGGAAACTGGAAAAGCTGGGGAACTGAAATTTTAATGGGTTGTCTCCCATCTACATATAGCTTAAACATTTCGAATTTAATCCTCAACTATACGTGTTTTTCACGTGTGGGCGCATGGAAGTTTTTGGCAGGAAAATTACTAACTCAGGAACCGGGGAAACTGGACGGCTGAAATTTTAAGGTAATATTCGCAGTTCAAGTACAACATAAATGTTTCAAACTCAGTCCCCACGTACGCGTAGTACTCATATATGGGCGCGCGGAAGTTTTGGCTTAAAAATTGCTAATTCGGGAACCGGAAAAGCTGGAAAGCCCAACTTTAATAGAATGTTTTATGTCCATATACAAATCAAACATTTCCAATTCAGCCTTTGGTTATGCATATTTCTCACGTAAGAGCACTTAAAAATTTTGGCGGGAAGATTGCTCACTGAAGAGCTAGGTCATTTTCAAACAAAAAAGGCGGAAATTGTTCATTTTTCCTTATGCAAAATCTATGATGGCTTACACTAGTGAGTGCCCAGAGCAGAAATGTAAAGAAGCTACCATTCGTACAGTTAATGACATGTTTGCTTCAAGTTTTGTGCAAGAACGCAAGATCACAGCAGCAAGTCTGGTGCGTGTCAGTGTAGGGTTTCTAATGCTTCAGGTATTGATCTTAAGTACTGCTACTATAACCGTTGATGATATCACAGGGTTTGCTCTTAGCCTGGTGCGTAAGAACTTCACTGTTTTCTACTGCAGTCATGAATTTATTTTAATATAATTTGGAACAACGGCTCTTCAAACCGATTTTAACTTTATTTCACACCAAAGAACATCATGCTCATTGGGTTGGTGACAGTGTTTGTGATAATACTTGAGTATTCTCTAAAATAATCTGTTGAGTTTTTGCACACTAAGCTTTATTGAGTTGCTGCGGTGTGCCGAACTGAACTAACAACTCTTACTGAATGTATCAGAATTAGCTTAACAAGTTGATTCATTTATAATAAAGTGCCGCTTTTTCTACCTGTTTAAGTGCTGTTCGCCTATGGAATCATGATGTCCTAGACATAAAATAACTGAAGTGAAATCAAACTAGATGATTTAGTCTTACAGCATGCTTGTTTAACTGAGAAAAAATACAATGAAAACCACGCAATGGCTGATTATCGCGTTGCTATTGGCGCCACTAAACCATTAAAAATCATTTACAGAAAGCGGTCGTTCTTTGGGGTTTTATACGCAATAACACCAAAAATCGGTTAAATTCATCAAATTGCTTATTGCAACGTATCGATGCGAGTGCTGTAAAATTGGATTTGAGCAAACTGGAGAAATATTCGTTGTTTCCGGGAAAAGTATGAATAATTATTGCAAATTTCCATTGTAAATTTCTGTAAAATTTGAGTGTTCTTTCTTTAAAAATAAAATTTGACTGTTCTTTCTTTTCCATTATCTACCCGTTTTCTGAATTTTGAGGAGGTAAAATGAGATCGTTTCACTTGAAACTTGGTCTACAGTTTTCCCTTTTTTTATTCCAGGTTCTTGCTATGCGTGGGAGTTTTGCTGGCAGTACATTCGTACCGGAAGAAATTTTCGAACCAAAACAGTTACATATGGCTTCTTTGAAAATACAAGCAGATATAGGTATGATTCATATCATTTTTTTTTTCTGTGGCTTATATTCTTTTTTTTTGTTTCTTATTTTTTCACGTCCTTTTTCTAGTTTTATATTTTTCTTTCTTTAATAGAGTAAGCGATTTTTACGTGATTTCTGTAAGTAGTGATGCACCGTGTGGTTCAAAATCGGTTTGAAGATCATTACCTGCTGGTAATTTTAATGAGCAGAAATGTGTGTGGCTTTGGAAATAGTTTGCATTAATCATGCTTGTAGTAGGAGAGAGGTGGTCGTTCGGCTGTACGCGCAGTACACAACTAATTTAAGAATGCATATGACGTAATGAACATTTTTTCAGGGTTACTGTCCGTCTGGTGCGCTTGCGGTCCTTTTACTTCACAGAAAACATTCTCTTTTGAGCAACTTTGCGATCTGCTAGAATTGGCAAAAAAGGAACTCCCCAATGTTCTTATTTTAGTGAGCACACCTTTCATTATTCACTTGTTTATGCACGTAATTGTCATTTTTACATTAATTAGATGAATGTTGGATTCGAAAGCACTGATTCAAATTTTAGATTGGACCATTTATTGATCGAACTAGTACAGCCGCGAGATCACCTCATCTCAATGTTGATTTCGACGAATTTATGGACGCACTACTTGCCAAAATTGATGAGACGCTATCCGGGTAAGTTTCGTTTAGAATTACTACAAGTCGAGTACTCATTCCACAGTCTAAGTCTCATTTGCATTCATATTTTTCTAAAAAAATCAGTTTCGAATTATGAACCCGGCGAAATGATGAGCCTAAATTTTGAATAGGCATCTTGATGAGTTTATACATACATACATACATACATACATACATACATACATACATACATACATACATACATACATACAAATAAGTTATACATAAATACATACATACATACATACATACATACATACATACATACATATATACATGTACTATTATTCACGAAATCTCGGCGTAGTTACTTCGTCGCGATATAGGATTGGCAACGTGATAAGCAGTGCCGAGGAATGGCGAACTACAGACGGTGGCAGCTTCAACCATACTAAGGCACTGTACCGCATTTTGAGGGAATCAGTTGACGACCCGTTGATAAACCGTTAGTCTGGAAGTTTGTACCGCAGCAAATTCAAAATAAATGGCCAACGCACGGGCTGCCCGTGCGAAGATGCGTTTTTTGCAGAGTTCCCCGCAG